AAAAAAAAAAAAAAAACTTATCCTCTTTATAATATTAACATAGATTTAATCGCAGCGACTACACGGCTCATATGAATATACAAAATATCAACTCTTAGAGATTACCTCTGCCCTCTTGAAAATAGCGCCAACTTCGCGACGATCCTGATAAACAATTGAACAACGAATTGTATTGCATTAGTCGGTTAAAGAGTAATCCCGGGCATCGGAGATTTCGTATCTTTGTGTACTAAGCGTTTTATGGAATTTCAATTCGATAAGGATTCAATTTAATAGTGATTAGCCGAAAGGTGATTGCCAACATTCTTGTGTGTTTAATATATGCGAGGGGTTTAAACAAATTTAGACTTTGTCAATATAATTTAAACTGACGTTTCATCGGTAACAGTAAGAATACGGTTAAACAACTAAGCGTCTCGATTAAAAGTGTAGCTATAATATTGGAGTACATAATTGCGTTTGCGTCTATTAAAACGCCTATAAGAGGCACTGCAAGTAAACGAGAGTCGAGATGAGAGCGTTGGTTTACGTATTTCACTGCTCTTAATGCACCTTCAGTTATGAGCGTTTGTCGCATGGCTAATTATAAAATGAAACGCTTTAATCATGATTTCTGTTTGAATTAAATAGTCAAAGTGAACTATAGATATGTACATAAAAGGTGAGTAAAAATACATACTTATATAAATAACTGTTTAATATTTACCTAAGTCTTATTTAAAGTGGTGTAGACATTATGTATTTTTTTTATAATATCAGGTGGCAAACAAGCAAGCGGCCACCTGAATCCACCGAAATGGAAAGCGACCGCTGCCCATAGACATCCACAATCGCAGACGCGTTACCTACCCTTAATCAACGGAGGAGACGCACATAAAGAGGACACTTCCCCATCCTATGCACCTCCTCCACCGTCAAATCCACTTTTCCTTCCCATCCTTTCCTCTTAAGGAAAGGGTGGAAAGGGTGGAAAGGGAAATGGACTAAAATTAGGCCTCCCTCACCACACTTATCAGACGAAACACGGAATTGCTTCCACTTCACGCCTGTTTTCTGTGTCTTGTGGTATGACACCAGGCGAGCCGGCCCATTCGAAATGTAATTTGAATGCTTCGAAAGTTATCCTAAACATATAAATATTTTCAGTTAATAAAGCATCATAGCAATAAAAAAATTATAACTTTCTGTATACCTAAGGGTAAAGTAAATTGTGTAATTCAATTTCGGAAATCTTCTTAATTCAAGATGAGGGTAGTACATTAAAATTCACGGCCCTAATGGCCGTTAAGGAACGAGTTACGCGGATTTTCACTACATAACGGGCTCTTATAAAATTTTCTCATCGCCCTTTCCCATCCATTCAATAATTCATAACACAACGTAAGGGACATTTGATTTATAATATGATATTGAAATTAAAAGATTTAAAGGACAGTTTTAATGAATTAAAAAGTTTTTCTTTACCGTAAATCTGTTTAACAATGTCCTTAAACAATTTTCTGAATATAACAAAATTCGAATTGTTCAAATATTTAAAAGTGTTAGTTTATCCTCATATAAGAAATTAGAAACTATCATTAGTTTAAAAACAATGCAACTCATGTCCTTAACCTATAGTGGTAAACAAATAGGGGTAAGCAAAGACCGCGGACTTTTTGGTGCGATCCTGAATCAACTCTTCTTCTTCTCTTCCTCTCAACTCTGCCACATTCATTCTTTTATGAGAAATAAAAATTTAATTTAGAGAAAGAGAAGTATAAAGATTTACGTTAAGCAGAAGCTATATGATGCTGGAAAAATCTATTCTTTATTCATAAACAAATGTAACATAAATGGCTTTCAACTATTAAACAATATGCCAGAGGCAACCAATGTTTCTGTTAGTCGTTTTAGTTGAAATGAAATTTATAACAAAATAAAGTTGGAAACACACAGTGACTGTAAAAGTATTTGACAAGCTTTTAGAGCCAGGTGCTTCTCTTTGTGCGCTTTAATGTATATTACAATCGATTTCGATATAAT